AAATTATGCATTGGGATGTTTGTGTGCACCATTTTGCATATCAGCATAAGCAAAGCATTCTTCATTGCATCAGCGTGTATGTTGTGTGCGTGTGGATCACTCTTCATGCACAAGCGTGTGCATGTGATGTGTGTGCATCACTTCTCAGTGAATCAGCATTCCGTTGTGTGTGTGTGTGTTGTGTGTTGTGTGTATGTGTGTGTGTATATGTGTGTGTGTGTCATTTCTCACTCACTCAACGAGTGCACGTGTTCATGTGTGTATTTCATTCATTCTGAATCTGTGTGTTTGGAGACTGTGTGTGTGTGTGTGGTGTGTGTGTGTGTTCATCACTTTCCTGTTCTGGTGTTCTGGGTAAACCACGGCCTGAAGCATGCCCTGGGGTCCTGCCCCCCCTCCTTTTCAGTTTGTTTGCGACCATTGCTGCTGCTGCTGCTCAAAATTCAGTCCGTCCTGGTTCTGACCCCATTGGGGCAGTCCTTTCTCCAGTCTCGATGTTCACCGCAGGTGAACCTGCATCTTCTTGTGTGTTTTGTCCATCTGAGGTGCCTTCTGTCCTCAGTTACTCCTCTTGTCTCGGTCACGCCTTTTTTCGCCACCCGATCATCCGTGTTGGTCCATCACTGTCTGCACAGTGGTGAATGCAAAGTTATCAAGGTCAGCATTCTTTCGCTCGGCCTTACTTTCATTCGGGCTTGGCGGGCGTCTCGTCACAGCTCTGTCAGCTGACGCAGTCTGGGATTTTCCCCCGTGTAGTGAAACGGGCCTTAGGTTAGTGCTCTCCGTCTCGGCTGCATGAGATCACATTCCTGCAGGTCTGTTGACATTCTCAGGTCGTTGTTGTGGTCCAGCTGTTGCAGCATTTGGTCAGTGTCACGTATGGGGGAGAGCAGGAGTCCAGTCAGCCTCGGCTTTCAGGGCCGGCAAAGCAGCCTGTAATTAAATATATATAGAAAAAACAAAACAAAACAAAACAAAAACAAACAAAAACAAAAACAAACGAACAGGAAAATGATGTTGTGTTGGCTGTGTTATTCAGAGGGGAGACAATGGGGCCAGGCCTGTGTCAGCCTTCTTTCCCCTTTTTTTTGTTTTTGTCTCCCGATATAATCAACTCCTAACCCACCAAGTTGACAGGACAACACAAGTACATATTAAAATTCTTAAGATATGTTTAAAAGCCAAAAAGGAACTTTCTTTCATTCAGTAATCACTTTTATTAATCAATCAACAGAAAACATGTCACATTTGAATCTTTAACCACTAAATTTGTTGTGTCTTGCCTGGTTGGTTAGACCAGTGTTCCTTTTTTTTTTTTTTTTTTTTTAGTTAAATTGTTGTCCTGCAACCCAGAGGTTTCTTGTCATAATGTATAGACTTCATCATTTAAGTATGTTAATTTTTCTTTAACCTTGCTGGAAAATCTTCACGTGTTCATGAGTGTAAGCTGTTTCTTCATTGCGTGTATGTGCATTTGTATAAAGCAGGTTAATTTTATCTTTTCTCAAACTAGGCGTTACCTTAAAAGGAGCCTTTCTCTCAGATTTCTCTGCTTGTGTGTTTTTGTTTCACCTTTTTGTTGTGATGCTCCGGACGCCTTCCCACCTCCACAAGTCCGTTGGCCCCAATTTTATGTGTTAAAACTTCTCTTAATTTCTCCTCTAATTCTCTCTCGCTGCTGTCTTTTTCACAGCTGCTGATTCGTGCTGGGTGTGGTTCCCATTACCTATAATTTTGCTTCGACCGCTGTGCTTGTGGGGGCAGTTGGTCCAGGTCCGCAGCTTCCTGTATTAACACACTAAGAGATTTATTTCATTTCATTTTCATCACATGTTAAACAGATAAGCAGGCAACCCGCCTACCTTGACAGCGTAAACTGTACGTCAGTCTCCCAACACATTCCTCTCTGTACTCCTCCATAATTCTCCACTGCACACCTCTTACTATCTCTCCTTTTTATTTTTATTACACCACAGAGTAATACACCCAATTATGCCCGTCTATCTCTATGTGGCTCCAAATTCCCTCTTTATTTTAATTTCACACTCGTCAGGGGACAGCACACAACAATTTCAACCACTGAAACGAGGAATTCAACTTTTTATATTTCTTTACTAATCTAGACTCAACCTTTGTTCGCAAAATGTGTCTTGTTCTAGTCCGGAATAAATGTGAACCCGTGATTACACGGCCGTTCCAGTGTTATTTCCGTAGCTATGCGGGGGCCCTCACCTCCCCAAGTCACCACCTCGGCACCCGGACGCCGCCGGTCCTGGCCGCGCGTCCACGAACAGGAGGGTCGCCACTCCTAGGGAAAATTATTTCCACAGGTACACTAGGCATCAACCTTTGATCCTAAAATGTGTCTTTGCTCTAATGTCTCCTAATCAAACACATCAACCGTCACTGTCACTGTGTTCACACTTCACACACAGAAACACACTCAGCGCGCGCCTCACACATAGCCAGAGCGCGCCTTACACACACAGCGCGTTACACCATCAGTGAGACACACAGAGAGCGTTCCTCATCAGTGGAAGATTACACAGAAACTTCTGAGCTCAACTGTTAGATCTTCTTAAAGCACACTGCACCATAGACCAAAATACCCCTTTCTCTGCGCTTATGACCGCCACAACGGGGCAAAGTCGCATCATAAAAGTGATGCTTGCATCCCCGAAGTTATACCTGACATCATAAACCAGGTTTTGCTCTATGTACTTAAAATTTTACTTTGTATTATGACCGCAGCCCTTAAAACTCGACTGACGCCACAAACCACCGTCAAAACCTCTATCCAATGTACTAAAACTAGCACCAACCACTACTGCACTTCACGGCCGCACCACCGGAACACGCCGTATCATAAACCAAACCTACGGACGTGTTTCGCTCTCGCGTTGCCAGCGTTCAACTGCACCGTGAAGCCAGCATCTGCTTTTCCTTAAATCAACTTCTATTTCATTTCTGCACATTTATCTAATGAACTAATATGTGAATATGTTCTGTTAACTCAAAAGTATAATGAGAACTAAACTACATACAGCTCACACACTCTATATTAAAGGGTATAATGTGATCTACAGCAGTATTCTAATTCAACTACTTTGATTACATATATAAGGTAACATATAATAACAGAATAATCTAATATTGAACAATCTGTCTTCACGTCACTGATGGTGGTATAGAAAAGTCTTAGACATGCTCTTGGCAGACAGGGGAGGTGTGTGTTCAGTGTTTGCTATTATTTGCTCCACTTTTGTTCTGAAACACACAACTTCAGGAGACATTGATGGAGTACCGTTGAGGACCTGGAAAGTGAGGACAAGAATCAAGGAAGTTAGCATGATTATCCACTTGAATGCGTTGAATCTTTCTGACCAGTTGATCACCAAAAGGCAGATCACACGAAGCCCTGTTTAACAGCTCGTTTGGAAGTACTGTTAGTTTTTCAAGAGCAGCAGGATTGTGGGGTCGCAAATTTTAAAGGCTTTGCAGAATTTCTATAGGCTGGAAAGATGTTGATTCAGGCTTTTGGAACACAATTGAAACCAAAACACAAAATCTACAGGAGATGAGTGAAGTGTGATGCCAACAGTTTTATTGAACATACAAGATTAACAAAGATTTAGAAGAAAGAAAAGCCCACTACGGTGTTCGCCATAAGTACATGCAGGCCAAACACCAATCAAGATAAATAAAGATGAAGACTCCCGGACTCTTCTGAGGTCCTTTTACAAAACAACAGCTGGTATCAACAGGTGTTCACATAACAGTAGTGCAAGCTATGTTAAAAATATGAATAATAAATGACCTAAGTATATGGGTCACAAACAATACGAGAACTTGAATCAACCGCCTAACATTGTCATTCCCTAAAATATTCCCTTTCCATCTACAAAGCACTTCCCATTAATGTCAATCTAGTGTATAAATTCATTAAAAAAAAAAAATCCCAACAGGAGTTCTGGCAGTGTGCAAGTTAGCGAACAGTGTACAGTTAGTAAACTGTCTCATGCTTTAAACACCTTCAAACTGTGAACTTCAGAGAAAAAACTGATTTCAATAAAGGCTACCGCATGTACACGGGTAGTTTTTTTAAACTGATATTTCCAAGTGTGATTCTGAGAAATAGTTCTTTTATGTCAAGACCCAAAAATATCTCAAGCACTGTTGAGGCCATGCCAAAGAAAATGAAGAAACTTCAGTAAAGACAAAGCCCATAAACAATAAAAAATGGATGTCAGAAAATGTGATAAAGGTGCAAACATTTCATGTTGCGAGACAAACACTTTTTCTTGTCCATGTGTGAAAAAAGAAACTGAGCTTCTGAAAACCTTTTCAAAATGAAGTTTTTTTTTCCGAATGCTCATTTTTAAATGATCCAAACACTGTTTATGTGATCTGCCATCACCATTTTCTAAGAATGAAACTTAGCATGTAGGATGGTTTCCGAAATGCATTTTCAACTGTACTAAAGTAATACAGAATGTGGCTTCTCACCTGTGTGAATTCGCATGTGCATATTCAAGTGACTCTTCACAGTAAATCTTTTCCCACAGGTGCTACAGCAATGTGGCTTCTCACCTGTGTGAATTCGCATGTGCATATTCAAGTGACTCTTCCTAGTAAATCTTTTCCCACAGGTGCTACAGCAATGTGGCTTATCACCTGTGTGAATTTGCATGTGTCTCTTCAAGTGACTCTTCCTAGTAAATCTTTTCCCACAACTACTACAGCAATGTGGCTTCTCACCTGTGTGAATTCGCATGTGTTTAGTTAAGTCTGACTTCCAAATAAATCTTTTCCCACAGGTTCTACATAACTAAACTGACAAGCCTGATACGATTTGCTCCGACTTATTTCTGTGTGAGTTACCATCCTTGCTTTCATCCTCATCTGTGTCAGAAGAGTTGTGAGAAAGGCACTGGTCACAGCATGGTTCTGATTCACTGTGGTCACTTTTTCACGAGATGGAAAATTTGCAGTCTCCTGCATTAGTACAAGCGGTTTTTCCTCTTCAGTGGTACTGAGTTCCTCCTGTTCCCTTTAATCTGTGAAGGATCCTCCTGGTCTAAACTGGAGTTCTTCTCCTGGTTACAGACCTGCTGATTTGTGAGCCCCTCCACATCCTTACAGTCATGTTGTGGAAAATCTGAAGGGACAGATCAAAAAGCATACATTTTTTGCCTTAACCATTAGCAAATCTCCACATGGTAAGCATGTTGCTTAGATATACCAATGAAAATCATGTTGTGGGGAGAAACAGTTTTGCTGACTCAGTGAAAACCATTTTGGCTGCTCATTTACAAACTCTACAAATAATATAAACAGACCATCTACGATGAGAAAATAAAGACGATATATAATCAAACAAAACAAAGTCGTATCCCTGAAAATTTTTAATCAAAGTGCACAAAACATTTAAAAGTTTATTTAAAATTAGTTAAAAACTTTACAGGACACTCACTGCAGTATTTTTTTGTTTATTTTTTAGATTAACCATTCATTGCCTGAAAGTTGGGGAGAATGGCAGGTAGAACCTTCACCTTTCAGGTCCCTCTTCTGTGAAAACAGCTGCCAATTTGGATTCGGAAGACAGATACCCTCTCTACTTTTAAGATTAGGCTTAGGTCAGTACTGTTGGGGCAGTTAGCATTCTCTTAAAGTCTCTTTGTATGTTTTCCTGTCTGGTGGCCTCTTGTTGGTTTACATTATGGTTAACACTAGAAATACTGACTTTTTTCTTGGTGCAAGTCCCTACCACTAGATTTACTAACCCCGTGCAAATTGCGTAAATTCCCTGAACCTAACACCTACTAGCACCCCCAATATATATATATTAGGGGTGCAACGATACACAAAATTCACGGTTCGGTTCGGTTCGATACTTTGGTGTCACGGTTCGATATTTTTTCGATACAAAAAAATGTTCATGCCTTTTTAATTTGTCATTTATTAAAATTATAAATATATATTTTAACTCAAAAGTACAGTTTTTAAATTTAACCCTAACCCTTGTGCGCGTTTTTTATTTTGACAGCGAATGCGCACCTGTGGACCACTTATGTGCAGCCCTGGTTATATAGCTCGTCATATTGCAGCCACAGAAATTATTTTGTCCATGAAACCATAAAGCTGCACTTTCTTTTTGCCTTATAGTCTGATTTGTCATAACTTCTCCGTTTTGTGGTAAGCTTTTATTTGGCTGTCACTTCTTCACCCTGACCTGTCTTATTTGGCTCAGCAGAACTGAAATGCTTTTACACGCGCACTCACATAAGCTCAGCGATTCTCTGCGCGATCAACCTCTCACATGTTTAAGCTGCGGGAGATTTCACTTGTCATGTTTGCATAGTAAGCTAACGATTAATAAGACGATGTCAGAGGAATTGGTGAGGAATCACTCATCTTTGGAAAAGAGAGTTTATTACAGAGAAATGGCTCTTTCCAAAAAAAAAGCTATACTATCCGCTTCTTCTGGGCTATATTCTCAGCAGCATAAGGAGAATCCTGTGCTAACAGCTGTCTAAATGACTCGGCTAAAGTTAGTAGCATGCTTGTTGTTTTTGTCTTTGCACTAGGATGATGTCGGTGTAAATGTGCAGTCATATTCGTTGTGTTCCCACTAGTGCTTTCAGGTTAATCTCGTTGAAATGACCTTAACGCCACAACACGGCAAATCTCCGTTAACGAGCTACCGCCGATCGCTCCGTGCATGGGGCTAGACGGCCAACACGTTAACGAGCTAACTGCGCTAACACACTAGTTCACACCAATGTAATTGAGCATTGCATGGCACATCCAACATACTGTTTTACTTTAGTCCATGACTCGCTTACCTTCAGGGTCATACGTCACATGAAAACCAAAATAATTCCAAACGCCAGATCTGAATGAGGGTCAATTTGCCTGTTGCAAGGAGAGCTTAACTTCTGTCTCGCTAGCTTGCCCTGTGCTCTTCCTTCTGACTATGCTGTCTGTGTGGAGCGCTCAGTGGATCTGCGCTCGACAGTGCAGCCTAGGCGGAGTAGTCGAACACAGATTCACTGAGCGCTCAACACAGACAGCATAGTCAGAATGAAGAGCGCAGGGCAAGCTAGCAAGACAGAAGTTAAGCTCTCCTTGCAACATGAACCTCCCCACCCTCATTCAGATCTGGCGTTTGGAATTATTTTGGTTTTCATGTGACGTATGACCCTGAAGGTAAGCAAGGCAAGGCAAGGCAAGGCAAGGCAAATTTATTTGTATAGCACAATTCAACAACAAGGTGATTCAAAGTGCTTTACAGAGACATTAGAAACAAAAACAAATAAAAAGCATGATTTAAAATTGATTAAAACAAGCAAACAAACAAACTAACTAAACACACACATTTCACACCTGTTCGCGCGATCTGAACCCTTATCGTAAGGGGAGCTACCAGTCCTTCTGTGGACGAGCTACTTTCTATTTTAAATTCCCTGAATTTAAAGTACTCTCTAGACCCAGTCTAGACCCAGTTGGGGAGCTACCCAGAGCTCTAATCCCACACCTGTTCGCGCGATCTGAACCCTTATCGTAAGGGGAGCTACCAGTCCTTCTGTGGACGAGCTACTTTCTGTTTTAAATTCCCCGAATTTAAAATACTCTCTAGACCCAGTCTAGACCCAGCTGGGGAGCTACCCAGAGCTCTAATCCCACTTAACAAACAAACAAACAAACAAAACAGTATATAAAATCAAAACAGATAAAATCAGAACAGTAGATAAAATCAGTAGTTAATGTAAGTTTTGAAATTTAAGCTTAACTAATTAACAAACAAACAAAACAGTATATAAAATCAAGACAGATAAAATCAGAAATAGATAAGATCAGTAGTTAGTGTAAGTTTTGAAATTTAAGCTTAAAAGTGTGGATTTGGTGCTTTATTCAAATGCAGCTGAGAACAGGTGAGTCTTCAACCTGGATTTAAATAAACTGAGTGTTTCAGCTGATCTGAGGCTTTCTGGGAGTTTGTTCCAGATATAAGGAGCATAAAAGCTGAATGCAGCTTCTCCGTGTCTGGTTCTGACTCTGAGAACTGATAAAAGACCGGATCCAGATGACCTGAGGGATCTGGAAGGTTCATACTGGGTTAGGAGGTCACTGATGTATTTTGGTCCTAAACCATTCAGAGCTTTATAGGCCAGCATCAGAACTTTAAAGTCTATCCTCTGACGGACAGGCAGCCAGTGTAAAGACCTCAGAGCTGGACTGATGTGGTCCACTTTTTTGGTCTTAGTGAGGACTCGAGCAGCAGAGTTCTGAATGAGCTGTAGTTGTCTGACTGATTTTTTAGGTAGACCTGTAAAGATGCTGTTACAGTAATCAAGCCTACTAAAGATGAATGCATGGACTAGTTTTTCCAGGTCCTGTTGAGACATCAGATCTTTTATCCTTGAAATATTCTTGAGGTGATAGTAAGCTGATTTTGTTATTGTCTTAATGTGTTTTTCTAAGTTTAGGTCTGCATCCATCACTACACCCAAATTTCTCGCCTGGTCTGTGGTTTTTAGATGTATAGATTGAAGTTCTCTGGTGACCTGTAAAATTGCAAAGTGAAAGCAAAAAAACAAGCGCAAATTCAAACGGGATTTCAATATGTCACATATTGACAGTGGCTCACCGATGCCAATGACATAATTACCCAGCTACATTTCTGAAAGAATGCAAAAGCATTGACATATATTTTTCCTTCCTACAATAGCCCGACGGCAGGGCAGAGATAGATTTTGGTAGCCCGACTGAAAAAATTGCTAGCCCCAGGATGTCGGGCTAGCGATTTTGCGAGCCCTGTATCTGATTGAGGAATCACTCATCTTTGGAAAGAGAGTTTATTACAGAGAAATGTCTCTTTCCAAAATAAAAGCTATACTATCCGCTTCTTCTGGGCTATATTCTCAGCAGCATATTAAACATATCAGGTCCCCATAAGGAGAATCATGTGCTAACAGCTGTCTAAATGACTCGGCTATAGTTAGTAGCATGCTTGTTGTTTTTGTCTTTGCACTAGGATGATGTCGGCGTAAATGTGCAGTCATAGTCGTTGTGTTCCCACTAGTGCTTTCAGGTTAATCTCGTTGAAATGACCTTAACGCCACAACACGGCAAATCTCCGTTAACGAGCTACCACCGATCGCCCCGTGCATGGGGCTAGACGGCCAACACGTTAACGAGCTAACTGCGCTAACACACTAGTTCCCACCCATGTAATTGAGCATTGCATGGCACATCCAACATACTGTTTTACTTTAGTCCATGACTCGCTTAGTGGAGCTGTTCTCATCGAGACGACCCCTCCTAACTACAGTTTTATCAGTGAGGCCAGGGTGAGCAGGAGAGGAGGAGGGGTTGCTGTCTTATTTAATGAATCATTTCAATGTAAGCAGCTATCTCCTGGAAGTTTTCAGTCTTTTGAATATGTGGCTTTACAGCTGAAGGCCCCGTCCAAAGTTGTGTTTCTTAATGTTTACAGGCCTCCCAAATACTGCACAGACTTTTTTAATGACCTCAGTGAACTGCTGTCTGTGATCTGTGTTGATTTCGACTGTGTAATTATTGTTGGGGATTTTAACATCCATGTGGACAACCCTCAGGACAAAGGGACTAAAGACCTGAGTAACACTCTGGGCAACTTTGGGCTGACTCAGCATGTAACAGAGGCCACACATAATAGAGGACACACTCTTGACCTACTGATCTCCAAGAGCCTGAGCATTTCAAACATTACTGTGTCTGATGTGGGCTTATCTGATCATTACTGTGTTTTCTTTGAAAGTAAAATCTCAGCCCACACAAATACAGTGGGGCAAAAAAGTATTTAGTCAGCCACCAATCGTGCAAGTTCCCCACCTAAAATGATGACAGAGGTCAGTAATTTGCACCAGAGGTACACTTCAACTGTGAGAGACAGAATGTGAAAAAAAAATCCATGAATCCACATGGTAGGATTTGTAAAGAATTTATTGGTAAATCAGGGTGGAAAATAAGTATTTGGTCAATAACAAAATACAACTCAATACTTTGTAACATAACCTTTGTTGGCATTAACAGAGGTCAAACGTTTACTATAGGTCTCTACCAGGTTTGCACACACAGTAGCTGGTATTTTGGCCCATTCCTCCATGCAGATCT